GTATTTTTAAATTCCACTTCCCTCTTAAGTTATACCCACCGTCTCTCTCTATGAACAATTTACAGATTTCTTTTGGAAGCAATTTATTTCTTACTCTATACATTATTATTTATCACCAAGTCTTGGAATTTAAAAGCTTGCATTTTGAGAAAGAGTGCATTTGTATGGTCCCTGCACCCACATTATTATTAATCTGATGGCCCTTTTCTGTATTATAGTTATTGTTAGTGTTACTTCTGTATGTTTCCCCAGACCTCGACACAGTAGCTCGTATACAGCAGGAGTAAACCACAGTGTAACATGTGCAGGGCTTTCTGATCCAGCATATGCTTTGCTTTCCCCACGACGGCCCCGAACATGAGTGCTGCGTGGCTTCCAGCTCGTGGTCAACGATCACACCAAGATGTTTTATTTCACTGACTCTTTCTAAACATACATTGTCAACACATATTTCTGCTTTGAAGTTTTTCTTCTGGTTTCCAAACAACATAAATCTGGTTTTATCCAGATTCAATGATCATTTATTCATATCAAACCACTTCTTTAATAATTCCTGTGTGATCATCTCCAAAACCTGAACACAGTATATTTGTGTCATCTGCAAATATTACAACCTTTAAAATCTGTGATACTCTGCAGATATCATTTATGTACATAATAAACATTTTTGGACCCAGTACTGAACCTTGATGTACTCCACAAGCTATATCCATCAAATTAGATTTATATTCATTTATTTGTACATATTGTTGCCTATTCCCTACAGAGCTTTGTACCCAGTCCAAAACCACTCCCCTAAACCCACCTTTCCAGTTTGTTATTAGAATTTCATGATTAACAGCATCAAACATATTATTTAGATCTAAGAAAACGAGTGCGTACCTCTTATTATTCACACATCCTGTTATCTCATTAAATCTATCAGTGCCAAAGCTCCTGACCTGCTGACCTGAACCCAAACTCACTATCTGTCAGTAATTCATATTTCTCCACAAAACTGTCAAATCTTTTTATGAAGAGTTTTTCCAGTATCTTAGAGAACTGGGAGAGTATTGACACTGGTCTATAGTTTGTAAAGTGATGCCTTTCACCGGTTTTGTAAACGGGAATAACTTCAGCAAAACCGCTGTTTGAAACGACAAGTTGAATATATACTTTAATGGTTTTACAACACCATCAATCTTTACTGTTACCACATCAACATCGTTCCAGTCTGTACTGGTTTTGTTCTCTTCCACTGCTCTTAAAAACATTGAGCTTCTCTTGCTTTCAGTATTTTGTGTCCCATCAACTTTATTTCTTCTGCCAGTTTTGGCCCCATGTTTACGAAGAATTGATTAAAACATTTACTATCTCTTCCATGTTATTAATGCTTCTATAAAGTACCCATCGTTATTCCCTGATCCATCTTTGATTATACTGTTTAATACGTTCCAGATATCTCGTGTTATCTTCATTGTGTTCCAACCTTTTTATGAAATACTCTCTTTTACAGGATCTCATTATATTCATTTATTTTTGTAAGTTTTATACTTCCTTTCAGTTTCTATGCTTCTCTTTTTTATGAATGCTCGATATATGGTATTCTTTGTTTGCTCCTCCGTGGTTGTTTTCCTGTTGATTTCAATTACTGGACAGTTTTTATCAAGTAACGTGTTAAATGTTCTTAAAAATACTTCGTAAGCTTAACTTCGATACCCGCGCTCTAACACGAAGCTCTCAGACTACAGCTCCAGCTTCGCCTTGTCTGTCTCTTGTTATGCGACAGCCTCTCGTGATTAATCAATCACTAGATTGATTAATCTAGTGATTGATACACAAACATCTGTTTCTGTTTCGGCTCAAAACAGTTTGATGATTTTTGCCTCAGCAGGACTCACCTGTGCTACACCACAAACTCACTGCACCACCTCAGTCTGAGGAGCAGCTATGACACTTAGTGTGACGGAGGAGGCCTCACCTTTGCTCTGCTCCTCCAGCTCCTCCACCCTCCCCCTCAGCTCCTCCGCCTGTCGGAGCGCTTCCTCCTTCAGTCCCTCCAGGCTCCGTCTCTGCTGCTCGGCCTGCACCTCTCCATCCCTCAGCCAGCTCTCCACCCTCCTCAGGATCTGACGCCGGCCCACCTCCTCCGCCTTCAGGCTCAGCACCAGCTCCTTCAGCCCTCGCAGTTCATCCCAGAGGACGGGGAGGGCCTGGGAGATGACCGCCGGCGGGGGGACAGAAGCCTCCGACTGGCCCCGACTGACAGAGCAGCAGAACAGCAGAAACAGAGCAGCAGACCTTCTCGCCATCGTCCTCCACCTGCAGAGATCCTTCAGCACAAGGGCGAGGGGGTGGAGTCTCCCCACAAACACGATTCAAGACAAACAAGCAGAAAACACAAAACTGCAGTTTGTAAAAGTGGGTGTTATTAACAAGAATAACAAGAGCAAAAGCAGAGCAGCTTCACCCTGCGCTCCATAAGCAGCTTAGAAGAAAGGCGGCTTGCACTCACTCGGCATCCAGTAATCATCGTCTCACAATAAAAAGGCTTTTCAGACCTTTCTCAGTCACGGCTTCCCACGTGCTCCGACCCGGATAATCATGCAAAGAATTCCAAGTGTGAAAGAAAGAACTGTGGTTCACCTTCAGCCTTTATGAATCCGAGCACTGTTTCAGCAGCTGCGCTCTCACGTCCTCCCGCGGGACAGGAAACAGCTGACAGCTGCAATAACTGCTCGCTGAGCCG